ACTACAAACACACTGTGGCGGAGTATAAGTAGTTATTATAAATACACTGTGATGTAATATAAGTAGTTAATACAAACACACTATGATGGAGTATAAGTAATTACTACAAACACACTGTGGCGGAGTATAAGTAATTACTACAAACACACTATGATGCTGTATTAGCAGTTGCTACAAATATACTATGACGGAATATCAACAGTTATCACAAACACACTATGACGTAGTAGCAGTAGTTACTATAATATAACTATATATATATATATATTGTTAAGGAAAAACCTATTTAGTGAAAACCAATGCTGCAATCGAAACAAACCTGCACCTGATAAAGCAATTTTTCCCAAAAGTTTAGGTTTTGTTTCTAACAAACAACGCCCCAAACTGTAATTTCAAACCGTTGCAATGTGCAAACAAAAATATCCCAGCCATAAAATACATAAATGAATTGTACGAAGAAGAAAAATATTTTCTTACTCTGCTGACTCTTCTATAAGAAAATCACGATTTGGGCTAGAAACCACGTCACTTTATCTTTTCATTCTGTTGGTCTCAAACTAACACCCCGTACAACTGCTCTAGTTGTGCTAATTACCTGTCCAGGTAGTTTTCCTTGAGAGCTTTTAGGAAGGACGAACAGTACCACGTGATCTCTAACTATTTATGCTACTGTTCTTTATGTTGTTTAAATTCGAGAATTGATTAACCTCCCGTGTAAGACAGGATATTGTTGAACAATCTCTTAACCTCGCAGTTCAATATATGATTTCGTAAAACCATTGTTTTCTCCTTCTTGTTATTTTTCTAAGAGTTTTCAGGAATGGAATAATATCTTTTGTTTGATACAAGTTTTTTACACTTTCAAAATATCAAAGCATAAAGAGACCGGTTATAATTACCCACGAAACGTTATTATTATTTTTTTTACAACATGAACTGGGATGCAAACTTAAAAGTTCATAAGATAGTTGTTTCTAATACCAGAAGCATTTTTAAACTGAATATATAAGTCCTATTATTTTTATTGTCTCCCAGAGGCACAGCGGTATGTCTGCGGACTTACAACGGTAGAAACCGGCTTTTGATACCCGTGGTGGGCAAAGCACAGATACCCCTTTGTGTAGCTTTGTGCTTACCTACAAACAAATAAATTTTTTTATTGGTTTCTGGTAGTATTGATTAAGTTGGTTAAAGAAAGAACACTCAAACAAGAAATAATAATTTGTATTATTTATTTTAGCGTTTCGGACCTGATTAAGTCTGTCTTTAGGACATAACAAAAAAGTAGTATCTAAATCCTGGATGACTAGCAAGCTCGAAACGTTGAGATAAATAATTAGAATTATCATCTATCTATTTTTAGAGAGTTTATTTGTCTTCCTACGTTATCCTTTATCATTTGAATATTTTATTGTTTACTTCTGTGGACCCTCATTATATCCGGAGGTGTCTTCATTTTTATTTTTTACTTTTGTTGAGGCCTGGAGTGGCTTGGTGGTTAGAGTTCATTACTTTGAACCTGTGGGTCGCAAGATCGAAACCCTCTAATCTATCACTTCAAAGTTCTCTCGGAGGTTTGCGCGAAATTCGAAAAACAAAAACAAAAAACACTTCTTCCCTGAAGAATGTAACTGTTAATAAACACATAAACTATCCCGAAAACTCGCTTGTTGTTAAGCGAGTTAGTTTCGGAATATTCGGATTGGTTCTTTCCTTTTTTTGTGGCGTTCGTATAAAGACACTTATCAGAAGTTCTCTTTCAGAGAACCTTATGAATAGTTGTTGGTGATAACCTCACACTGTGTATATTTTACCAAACTTTCTCCTATACGCATCCTTATTAGTGGTTTTTTCTTCTACAGACAACTTTAATGGAAGTTATTTTTAGGGAAAATCCTGACTGTAGCTTGTTTGTTTTTTGAGATATTTTCTCCGAAAATTGTTGCATTTTTTAAAAAGACTCACTGGAAATTCTTCTATGGATAATCTTAGGGGACGTTGTTATAGAGACAACCTACCTGAAGATCTACAGACACTCTATCTGAAGGTCTTCTATAGACAATATACCTGACGTTCTTCTAGAGACAATCTACCTGAAGGTCTTTTAGAGACAATCTATCTGAAGGTCTTCTAAAGACAATCTACCTGAAGGTCTTCTATAAACAATATACCTGAAGTTCTTCTAGAGACAATCTACCTGAAGGTCTTTTAGAGACAATCTACCTGAAGGTCTTCTACAGACAAGACATTATTTCTTCTAGACATTATTTATCTTAAGGTCTTCTATAGACAATATACCTGAAGGTCTGCTAGACATAATCGATCTGAAGGTTCTATAGAGTTAATTTACCTGAAAAAATAGATTATGTCTAGAAGACCTTCAGGTAGATTGTCTATAGAAGACTTTCAGGTAAATTATCTCTATAAAACCTTCAGATAGATTATGTCTAGAAGACCTTCAGGTAGATTGTCTATAGAAGACTTTCAGTTAAATTATCTCTATAAAACCTTCAGATAGATTATGTCTAGAAGACCTTCAGGTAGATTGTCTATAGAAGACTTATCTCTATAGAACCTTCAGATAGATTATGTCTAGAAGACCTTCAGGTAAATTATCTCTATAGAACCTTCATTATGTCTAGAAGACCTTCAGGTAAACTATTTGAAGGTTCTATAGAGATAACTTACCTGAAGGTCTTCTAGACATAATCTATTTGAAGGTTCTATAGAGATAATTTACCTGAAGGTTTTCTAGACATAATCTATCTGAAGGTTCTATAGAGATAACTTACCTGAAGGTCTTCTAGACATAATCTATCTGAAGGTTCTATAGAGATAATTTACCTGAAGGTCTTTTAGACATAATCTATCTGAAGGTTCTATAGAGATAACTTACCTGAAAGTCTTTCAGACATAATCTATCTGAAGGTTCTATAGAGATAACTTACCTTCTAGAGACAATATTACTGGAAGTTCAAGTATATTCATTGATTATTTGAAACAAAAAACTTACAAGTTGGTATATAGGTAGCGTTGATGCTTTGTTTTATTAGTCTGCATTTTTAGCCAATCATGATTTTGCTATAACTTCTTACAAGATAATGCCTAATCAAGATCTTCGGATAAATACTTTGAAAACATTATGCCATATGAGCTATGAAAACTGTAGAATGTATAATTAATAACTTGCAGTAAAAATAACCTTCCCTCTAGTCAATTAGCTCAAAATTAGGAACGACTAGCGCAGATAGTTTTTTTTTTCTTTTCAGCTTTGAATGAGTATCTCAAATAAACCTTGCATGCTTAAAGGCACACATAAATGTTGTTAATGTTTCGACATGTGCAAATGCATGGGGATAGATAATTTAAAACAATATCCTTTCCATTTCGAATTGTCCTATAGCAATAGTAATCGTCATATGAAATGAAACAGTGTAAGATCTGGCTAATAACGTTCTTAACACAAAGTTTTGAACAACCAACCGGAGCGAGCCACCTATACTAATTATAATAAAATTTGATTGCATTTACAAATTGTGGATTGTCAGTTTTTAAGTAAACAGTTGTGTTTCATTCGTAAAATGAAACGCTAACTCTACCAATGCAAGTCCTTTAATGACGCAAAATAGCAAATCTACTTCTGCTGTGAAGAACAACATGAACTACAATACGTCACAGCTGGACGTCTCTGGAAGAAAGGAAGTGGAGTTTCCACTGTGAAAAACAATATGAAGAATAATACATCAAAGCTAAGCAACTCTAGAAGCAAGAAAATGGTGTTTCCATTGGGAAGAACAACATTAGTGAGAAACTTTACAATGAGATTAAGATCTCAGCTGTTAATGAAGTCATAATTATGGATCATTTTGATTTCAGGCATATAGATTGGGAAATTCTAGAATCAAACCGTGAGGGAGAAAGGTTTTTTGGAAACTGTTCAAGATGGCTTTCTTCACCAGTCAGTCAAGGAACCAACTAGAAATTATGTTATTTTTTGACTTATTGTTAACTTCAAATACAGAAATGATTGAGAGGGTGGAAATTTTGGAACATCTGGGTGCAAATGATCATTGCTCTATTAGGTTCAATGTTTTGTTGCATATGGTTTGTTTGTTTGTTTTGAATTTCGAGCAAAGCTACACGACGGCTATCTGCGCTAGCCGTCCCTAATTTAGCAGTGTAAGACTAGAGGGAAGGCAACTAGTCATCATCACCCACCGCCAACTCTTGGGCTACTCTTTTACCAACGAATAGTTGGATTGACCGTCACACTATAACGGCCCCACGGCTGAAATGGCGAGCATGTCTTGGTGTGACGGGGATTCGAACCCGGGACCCTCAAATTGCGAGTCGTTGTTGCATATGGAGATAAGGAATAAGGAATTTTACAAATTTCAAAAAAGCAAATTTTGAAGGGATGCGACAAGAGTTATCTGTTGTGAATTGGGTAGCTGAGATATTTGGAGACACTGATCAGATGTGGAAAATTTTTCAAGATATATTTTTAAATATTCAATGTAAACATATTCCTAATAGAAATAAAATAGTAGCTACAAGTAAAAAACCAGGTTGGCTCACAAAGAGTATAAGAGATAAAATTAAACAAAAGCATCATAAATCTAAGAAATTTAGATTGACTGGTATGACAGGAGACTTAGAAGATTATAGAAGATCAAGAAAATTGGTGAAACAGGAAATTAGGACATCAAAAAGAATGTATGAGAAAAGGTTGACTGAAAATGTAAAAATGAAGAGTAAGGATTTATTTAAATACATTAAGGGGAAACAAAAT